ATATTTTTTTTTTAAATCCGGAAACACGTCAATTTAATTTTGGTATTTTCTCATTATCAGTGCGATTTTTAAATCACTCGAGCTGATTTACTATATTACATGTCGTAAAACAGTACGAAAAATAGTGTATTTACCCCTATTAAAAAGGGGGTTGCAACCCTTCGGTGTAAATGTTATGTCCTTAAAAGCGCCTTTTTATAAGAAATTTTTTAACGTCGAGTTTACTGAAAAATATTCATTTGATGCTGAGAAATATTAAAAATCTGATTTTAGGGGTTGATTTTCAGGGTCGAATTCACTCCTTAAAAGCCCTTATAGGCCGATAAAAAAAACATGTATCTATTTTTTTTTCAAGTACTACAACATATCCCAAAATCATTCAAATCGGTGAGGTCGGGTTGGGGTGGTTCCCTTCTAAGAAGCGCTCCGCCTCGTTCCCTCCTACTTAAGTAGCCAAGTAGTCATGTGTGGTATCCTCGGTTTTGCTGCTCGGCTTGATCATCCATGCTTCCTGGGTAGCATGGATGATCAAGCTGGTGATGACGGTAGGTTTCCACCAGATTGGGCTAAGGCACAACATGAGCAGGTCACAGGTTTACTCCAAAACCTTCTTGCTCGCAATGAAAGGAAGGGAAGAGATTTATTTAGAAAACAACTAAACTTCTTAGCGTTCCGTGATGAGTGTCAGATTTGAGTAATTGGCTTTCTAGATGAGCTCAAGTTTGATCTCTCGTGAGCGGTCAAGCTTGTCCTTCGTGTTTTGGGTTTTTCCTATCCCCTTCTACAGGTTCGAGCAACTCGTCACTAGATCTATAGGACTCGACAAGCAAAAACTAATATCATCTACAGGAAAATCTGACTTGAACTTTTTCGTATTTAAACGCACAAACTCCATAGATCGTGATAACATCCTTCGATGCTTAAGTGCACTCGCGGATACTAATGTTAGTGTTATTTATTACTGGCCTGCATACCAAGATCTTTCTAAAGTTACTTTGGCCGAATCCAGTGCACAAGCTCCTTGTAGCTGTGCAGGCCAAATCGAAAAATCTTGGATACAATCCGCCTATTTCATCTAACCTTATGGTTTATATACGGAAAACAGCTACCTCAGTCCCATAATCCATTCCCAGCCTCACTCTTAAACGTATCGAAACAAAAAGTGGAGAAATCGTTCCTTTATAATTCACTCCTCCCATCAACCAAGTGCTCAAACTCTCATTCCCATGCAGATCGCGGACACGTACGCTGTGAACTTTAATACAGAACCTGACGATCTCTTTTCGTGACCATTAAATTCAAATACGAATCAGATTAAGCATGTCTCTCTCTCATCTCACCTGCACTATATTACTATCAGCCACATAAATGTGAATCAGCTCAACACATCATCTCATATCATAATATTACAAACAGCTATCTCCACGTGTCATTATGATTTAATAGCTACTACTGAAATATTCTCAACCCCGATATCCCAAACACGCATCTCCAGCTGTTTGATTTCCAATTCTTACGATTTGATCATATAAGCAAAAAAGGTGGAGGCATTGCACTATACATGCGTGATTCGCTGACAATCAGTATTCTATTTAAATCTGATCCGCTCTATGATAATACTCCTGAATAGGAGGATGATTCGTCGCCTCGGCTCCCTCGGTGGTAGGGATATCGTCGTCATCTCGCCTTCGGGTTTCATCTTCTGACAAGGTGTCCTCCCGTCCATAATAAGGTTTAAGGTCTTTGGCGTGGACCAATTCTTTAACCTCTTCCTGTTGGTTGGCAAGGCGGTACGAATTGACTCCGAGTACATTAATGATCCCGTAAGGGCCCACGAATTTCGGCGCTAGCTTTGCGAAATACCCTGTGTCGCACTGGATAGTATGCAGTTTCTTTTCCATACCCAGTCCCCTTCCTTGAATCCCGAAGTCCTATGCTTGGCATTATAATATTTCGCCTGTCTAAGGGATTCATTAGAGGTAATCTCTCGGGCTTTCTAAATAATGAATCGGTTATTCTTCATATGTTCATTCCATTGCCCTATTCGGAACAAGTCTTCCTTCCGGGTTGCAAGCTCGTCCCTTTGTCTACGGAGGGTATTCGGGGCTTCCGGTTGCCTCCCGTAATTGAGCATAGCATGGCTTGTTCCCGTGGAGCTGTGGATAGCAGTATTCAGTGCGAACGCGAGTTCAGGCAAGACTCGGTCCCACTCTTTATGATTCCCGTGCAGGTACGAGGTAATCATCGTCTTCACTGAAAATAACTGAAAATAACCTTGATACGCACTAGTAGCGCCATCTCTCTGACTTTACACGGACTTTTCAAACGACCCTCGTACTTTGACAACCTTCAAAACCTATTGGTGATTACGAGGCAGCTTCCAAAGAGTCGTTCGGTCGGATTCGCACGCGCTTACACTGAATGTTTAAAAACTATCGTCGCGGTGGGCCTTCGTGAGTTAGATTACAGTTTGCTTTATTTTTTATGTGGCATGCGTTCAAAGTGTGCACTACAACACTTATTGCCATCTGGGTCATTGGTTGACTGAGCGTATGGTCAATGTCTAATGGAACCGGCGTTTTAAGCAATCATAAACGCTGCTAGTTCTTTTACGTTAGGCGCCATGTAACGGGGTGTAAATTCCGTTTTATTTCTTTGTCTTACCAGATGCGCAGTCGTACCGGAATGCGCGCGACGAGATCGAAACAATCAAGTTTTGTTAACTAACCGAAGATCAGAAGAGGACGGATGTCAGTCAACCAACTTACTAATAGCAAAGACAACAATAAATTAACGTTTCAATCATACACGAGCTAGTTTATTTTCTATGTAATCTACAATACGATTAGCCCGCGCATTTAGCTTATGCGGCGCGCGCGAAAATCTTACGCATCTGCATTTCGTTTATAGTCTCTCGTTCGCGATATTTTTTTGCATGCTCGCTACCGATTTTCTCATAATCGCCGGTGTGAGGGGAGAGTAATCAAGCGCGGTTGTTTAACAAAAATCGCGACACGAAGCTGGCCAGCTTACCTTGCGTGAACAATCGCACTATCACGGGAGCAGATCAGTATCGCCTCTGGTAGCTTGGATTGCCGTTTCTCCTAATTGGAAAAGAGATCTTCTCCGTCGTCCTGCTAATCCTATCGGATAGATGGATTCCACGACCTCGTGGTAGGCCTGCGATGGCGATTTTGCCGAACACTCGGGAAAACAACAATAGCCACACTTATCGGCGGACTAACCCTCAAATTTTTTAAGATTTTTTTGAAACAATTTTCGACTTTTTGGAAAATCCGGAAAATCCAATTTTCCAAAAATATCTCTGAAAATTCTGAAAAAATTTGATAGTGTTCCTGGACTGGTTTTAAGACTTTTTTGTTCTTAGAAATTTTTTGCTAAAGTCATTTGTTTTTGAGAACAAAATTATTGAAACCTTTAACGAATTGTTTCCGGATTTTCCAAAAAGTCGAAAGTTGTCTAAAAAATTTCTGAAAACATTTGCGAGTATTTCTTGGCCAATTTTAAGACTTTTTTGTTTCTAGAAATTTTTCGCCAGTCTTTAGTTTTCGAGAAAAACGCTTGTGAATTAAAAAAAGAAATTTCTACTTCGCCGCCATTTGAAGATGTACATTTTGGAATTTTTAATTTTTATAAGTCATATTTCAAAAGTTTGAAATGTTTGTGCAAACTCGTGTTCATTTTTGTTGAATAAAAACATGTTATTTTGATAGAAAATTTTATTTTTTAATTTTTCTCGACAATTTTTGCAGTGCTTTTTTTCGAAAAAAAGTCGCCATATTTTTTTTTCTTGAAATTTAATCATCTTTTTGATTTTAGAATCTTGTAGAGCGACCCCAAAAACATAAAGTAAGTCATTTTTAGACATATTCTTGATATTTAAGTACTTTAATAATAATCGCAAAGTAAAGATTCTTGGCTTTTTCGGTGTTAATGGGTTAAGCTGGAAGTTGAGAAGCATGCATCATTCTTTTAATTATCGTTATACACTTATTTGCAAACATGAAACTTGTAAACCTAGCAGCTTTCAATCGTAATGATGACTTTCTAAAAGTTCTTGGCCGTCGCCTGATCTTCCCGATCCTCAACACAGATATCGATTTCTCATGTTATGATTAATTCCTCGCCTAGTCGTTACTTAAAATGCTACAGATTTATGATCTCCAAGCCAATTCATTTTTTTTATTTAACGTCACTCTATTTATGCTCCATCAGTGCTAATCAGCGACGGAGGCTTGCAATGTGTTTGAGAACAAAGCACATGAAACTTTTTTCAGTGGTGGTTGTATCAATTAGCAGGGACTGGGAATCGAACCCGGGCCTACCGGGTGCGAGTCCGTCGCCCTACCGACCGAGCCATTGCAGGCCTCCAATTCATATTTAATATTCAATATGTGTCATATATTTATCATTTTACTAGTCCTGTCCATTAATTTAAATTCATTCACATATTCCATCTCACTAGTATAAGCTCCATATTATTGTTACGAAAATCTTTAGTTCAACTTTTAATATTATGTCAATTCTATGAATTGTGTTAACTAGTCCTTAAGCTCAATATTTACGAACTACCGAACTTTGAAAATTATGTATCAAATTATTGTATTATTCCCTTCAGACGGTGTTATATCCCAAGGAGGAAATAAAGTCATTTTATCTCTCTCTCTTTCTCCACTTGTTCCTTCCTTGCACTGTCCTTTTCTTGCGCCCTCGTAGACCGTTACGTGGGCCGAAAAAGAATTGTCGTCATGCCTGTTTGATCTATTTTCTTATTTGCGACAATTTTGCAAAATTAACGAGCAAAGTCGTTATAATGTATTTATACACAATTTTATATTAATAAATATATACATAACTATAACAATTGTGATTCCATGAAATTATGTTATACATATACCACACACACACACACACACACACACACACACATATATATATGTATATTTAAGAATTGTTTATTCTGTTTCATATTCTTGAAGAAAGAATGGCTTGAAAAATGTGATCAAGCGAAAAAGTTGAAAGTTTCACAAGCTACTCTACCAAATATTGATATTGAGAAGAAATCAGTTGGTGTACAGCAATTCTTCCCAACATCTAGATCAGTACCCTTAGACTTCAATACTATAGGTAATGATTAGTTCAAATATTTTTATTTTACATAATTTTACAATTTTCTGTCATGGTTTGTATACGAGTACTATTTGTAATACTCTGAATGATTATCTCAAACGATCTTAGGTTTCACTACTTTAATAACAAAATTTATCTCACATTTTAAGTGCATTACAATGTTTCTTTTTTTATTTGCCGGAATCTTATCAATATTTATTTTGCTGCTGTAACTAAAATTACTTAGATCCCTTCGAGTTACAGTTTATTACTTAACTATCTTCATATTTATTCACAGTGGAGATATTCGATGCTATCTTGAATGAAATAGCATGTCTAAATAATCATGATTTGTTAGGTTACATTTGAAGTTCTATGGTCTATATTTTTAAATGTAACCTGACTGTATTGAGAAACAATTACTTTTTATAGTTTAGACTTAACTAGAACTTATTTAGTTACCGTATGAATCTCGAGCTCAGGTAGTTACTTTACATTCTTGGGTTCGTCTTTTTCTCAGAACACTACGCGTAACCTACTTTAACATTATTGTATAATAAAGATGCATGCACACACCATTTCGAGCTCGTATTTTTAGAGTTCTAATAGTATCGACGTAATGTTATGCCGATACGTTATTGGTATTTTAATGGTATTTAGTAATATTCATGCCGGTATCTCAGTACATAGTCAGTCAATAAAAGTAAATCAACAGCATATTAACAATTTCCGCAAGAGTGTTGTCAACCATATTGAAAGTTGTAAATTATGTACTGTATAATGTAAGATAGTTTTCTATAGAATTAACAAAATTTTACTTAAATTAAAAATTTATTCATAAAAAGGTCACTTTGATAATAATTTAATCCTGCACAGTGAAAAGTCTTCGAAATGTGACTCCCTCATATTATTACCGTAGTAAAGCATTATGTACCAGTAGAAATTCATATTGACTATGCGAGTTAAATATAAAATGATATTGATTTAACTTCAGAAGCAATGATTATTTGATTTTCAATTAAATGAGGTTGTTTTAAGATCATTTATGATTCTAATAATTTCTGGAACGGATATTCTAAATTTTTGAACAAATATAGAAGTTCCTGTTCAAATGTAAAAATTCGATCGTTAAATGATCTTGACATGACCTTCAATGATAAGAGAAGGCAGGAGGGTGTCCGTTATTAATTTTCTTTAAACTTTGCATACGTATAGAGTATAAAAAATATTACACATATTTTTTCAGTTGCTCATACGGTAATTTAAGGGGTTAAAATAGGGTGTAATGGGGATTTAGACTGTTACAATAAAATTGAAGATAATGAAAGAAAAAATGTGCTTCGATTTAGCTTATTGCAGGATCATACAAAAGTAATACGAGACCCGATCCAGTAGTCCAGATTGCCGTCAGATTTACTGTGATTTCAGCAAGGGTCTGCGGAGAGCGCCGTGAATCGCGCGGCTGAAATTGCGAAAAATAATGGAAAGTGTAGGAAGGGAGAGTCAGGAATGCAAAAGAACTAGCATAAACGACGTGTATGTAAATAAAATATTTATATAAAATTATCAAAATGTACAGGCGTTAAGTAGCGTAGAAGAGCAAGAGAGAAGCGAGCTAGGCAAGAAGAGAGAAGCGAGCTAGGCAAGAAGAGAGAAGCGAGCTAGACAAAGAAAGAGACGAAAAGATCGCCAGGCATAGCCCTTGATAGAGATACAGGCGCACATATAACGATGATGATGGGCGGTTAGCATTATTGCCACCTCGTCTCCGTCGCATGCTAGGAATTGTAATTACTATTGCTTCTTTCACACAAGTGCACCCACTTAAACGCACGGAAAATTAGGCCAGGCCAAACGCAACATGAAAAGCTACAGGGTGAAACGAATCATAGATTGAAAACAAAATGCGCCTTCTCAGCTCGTAGTCAGACAGATTATTACCGGCCCTTTGTCATGCAGCTTTTTGTGGTACGCGGCTCGTCACCCCTCCATGTACACCCACACGCACGCCCCTGCACTACTCTCTCTACTGGCGCTTTCTCGCACCTGTGTTTCAGCTATCGTCTGCTGATGCTGCTAAGACGCATTAAAAATAGAAAATATAAATACTATAGTATTATCATTTAACTTAGCGGGAAGAGAGAGAGACATAACGAGCTGAGATTAAACTTGTTCTAAGCGTTACCAATTATATGTACAGTAACCTTTTATCTTATGTTACGTTATAATAAAATTCGGACAAAAATATATTTATAAATCGCGTTTTCGAGAGCAAGCAAGAAGTTGACACATAGATGCCTGATATGACCGAAATAACAGTTGTTGGTGTATTTCAAAATCGCTATTGAATCAATCATCGAACAGCAAACATAGTATCGATCTATGCAGTTCGCTACTTCGACGGGCCGTTTGAAATACGGCTAAGTATTGTTGCATCTATCGGGGAAAGGCTCGACAATGCAACAAATACTCAGTCGAATTTCTAGGCTATATTACTTTTATCAAGAGAGGAAATAGTCTAAGGTTACTTTTTTCTCACAAGAGAGAAGGTTTTATGAGTTGAGCTCTTAGACTATCATATAGGAGAGAAGGATAGCAGGGCTGACTGAATAATGAAATCAGATCTTAGGAAATGACTAAGTCTTTATTTACAAACAGTGCTCGCAGTGCTAAGGGAGGTAGGATTTGAAGTCCTTTCTTGCCGCAGCGACGAGCGAATTTATACTTGCGAAAGAGGCTCCTTATTACACTTGGTAGCTTCTACAACGCTATTTTCGTTATTTGCACAAATCTTAAACAAGTTTTGTCGCGAAATGGCGCGCGCGAAGTTAAAAGTTGGCGATTTAAAAAATTAAGTCTAAGATGATGATTTTTTTAGTATAAATCATTTTTCAAGGAAAAATCGCCTCTAGTTATAAACGATTAAAGATAAATAAGTAAATAGCACAAAATTTACAATAAAATTATTGGAATTTTGTTTACCAAAAAGTGACTTATGATACGCGGAACCTTATTTAAAATCAAAATCACCAATTTAACAAACAGTTTTTGAATAATAATTGAATAATGAATTCGCAAATCATTCTTTTTGTTATTATAAAATCAACAATTCTAATTATAGTAATTTTACATGTATGTAGAGTTGAATCGCTATCTCGCAACGCAATTTTAAATGTTTAAATAAGTTATACAACTTTTATTTATTGATAACTCTGTTAAATTTCAGTTATGAAAGTGTCAAATTCTTGCTTCTCTTTCTTAACGTGCTAGGATCGCTGTTATATATTCAAATTCACATCATATTTATTTATTGCAAAATACTAGTGATAGTTACTTGTAAATTAAATTAACTTAACAAATACGTATTAAATGATCATAATAACTTGAAATTCGAAATTAGCGCATTGAAACTGACTGAAAAATGCTTTTGTTCGTTGGGGAGTCTGGCTGCCTCCTGCAATAGTGACCCATGTCTCTGCGAAGAATGTTTCCAAATGGTCTGATATTTGGCCTGTTAGCCAGGATCCATTTTTTAAGATTTTACTTAATATCCTTCATGGTATTGGATGTAAGAAATGTTTGAGATTATAAGGCATGACTTTCTCAATTATAGCGCTCTCCGAAAATAACGACTAATTGCGCTTTAGTATACTAACTTTAAAAAATTGATGGTTTTTTCTTTAAATATACCGCTTGGCATTCATTTATTAGCTTTTTGCACAGAACTCATGGACATACATATGCTTATTTTTGTTCATATTTGCAATATAAACAAAAATTCTATTACATTATTATTAAATATAAAAATATATTAAATATTAAATATTTGATATATTTAATTTTTAATATTAAATATTTAATATATTTAATTTTAAATATTAAATACTATATTAAATATCGTCGCTGATTAGCACTGATGGAGCATAAATAGAGCGACGTTAAACAAAATAAAATTAAAAAAAAAATCCTACCTACCGACTGACGCTAACTGTTTGTTAACGTCGTTGCACTAGTGTCTCTTGTGCGTGTCCCTTGTCAACCTCATCAACTCATCAGCAATGTCATCCTGGAAAAATTTCGGAATTTCAAACACAAACGTATTATTTTGTCGTCAAAGTACCCACAAAATTACTATCGAACCGCTAACGAGTTACGCGCTCATAAACTTTAGTGCTCATTCTCAATTAAAAATGCTAATTATGAAGTTTCATACTAATGAAATTTTAACCATTGTACTTCAAATCTACTTTATTATTGAAAAATTATTTATATATTCTACTTCAGTTAATCAGGAAACTAGTTAAATTATTTAAATTATCATCTATAATGAAAAATACTAGTTAATTGAATATGTTAATCGAGATATACAGGGTGATTCTAAAACATTGAATGAATTTTATATCACTGGATTCATCAAAAAAATTGTTTAAGATAAAATTATTCAGAAAAATTTTTGATAATTAGATAATGAGAGAATTAATTTTAAAGAACAACCAATGAGCGGCTGGCTTTAGAATATAGAATGTAGCGTGGTGAGTGGGGAGCTGCAGGAGGATTGACATGCGCGCACCACAGCCGACTGAAAATGGTCCACAATTACATTGATAGGCGTTATGAATTTCGCTTTCTATCAGCAATTTTCAGCAACTCAACAACTGGAAATAAATTGACTGGAATTTGCGCTCAATACGGTTATCATTTTTAGATTTCTTTGTGCTGATGCGACTTTGGACTCCATATGAAAAACCAAGTAGTTTCAAAAATTATGTTAGATAGCGTCAAACAAACTATGCTATTCATAGACAAGTTGAGAAAAATATTCAAATTTTTTCTTGTGTTATTTGCTATTGCTAAATTATTCAAAAATTAAACTATATTATATATAAACTAAATTCTCTATTTATTCCAAATGATCACATTTTAGTTTCTCTTGATGTCTCATCCCTGTTTACTAATATTCCGGAAAGTCTGACTATCAAAAGTTTAGATAAACGGTTTATCCAAATCCATTTTAATTT